TGTGAATCAGAGGATTAGAACCCACTTTGGAAGGATGTCCTTGGTCAGTGGGCTGAGAGAAAGTGGAGGGAGGAGGAATGATTGATAAGCTGCCATCATTTTAAATGTGGCTCAATAAATTTTTCCAAAGATATTAAAGAGCATGGATTGTCTATAACAGGGAGTAGATGGTTTGAAGGTGTACTGAAGTCCTTTCTAGTTGAGTATTTATTCCCTAATAAGTCATCAATACCTCCTTGTACAGAATAAAAAAACCCTCTCCTCTGGTTCTTCTTGACCATGCTTTTATGCCCTCTAAAGCCCTTTACTTTTCCCTGACAAATTACAAATAGGAAATATTAAACATAAAATCTAGGTCACATTTTGTTGCTTCTTTGAAATTATGATGTGTATTTTAATGTCCATATAGATGAATTTTCATATAACAATTTTTTTCAGGCCTGAAAGTATGTTTATTTCACTTCCCATTTGAATTTTAAAATCTTTTTTTCCATTTTATGAAAAGCTAGACCTTCATTTTCAATTTTTAGTTCAAATAAAATAATTATCCTGTTGTTACTTTTTTGACAGTGAGAAGAATACATTTCAGATGAAGCCCATATTTTATTCTATTTTAACTGTTTGTGTTTCCCTAATTGCAAGAAAAATTCAATGATGATCTTTTTTCAGGCTGATAAATATTTTAGTGTAGATTTTCTGTTGGAAAAAAACATCCAGTTGAAGGGTACAAGATTGGCAGGTTTGTGTCTTGTCTACACAAAGCTTTTATTTCCCTTAAAATGTCTTGCTGTTGCTAGCATTAGTGTCTCTCCATCCGAATGTATTTGTTAAGCAGTCAGTAAATGATTAAAGAGCTGGAGGGGCTGATTTATGGAACAAAATTAATGAACTAAATATGCATCACTCTGTTACGTGACAACTGGGAAGCGTGGGAGAACATGATAGAGCTGTCTGTGACTACCAGGGAGTGTAAACTGGGAGCAGAGCAAAGGATTCACAGCCAGGTACAGCTGGGCCTTTTTCCTGACCCAGACTGCCCAGCACACTCCTCCTTGAGGGGCTCTTAGGGACCAAATGCCTGTGTGTCCCCCTGAAAACCCACATGAGGGATGCTTGAGGGTTAATTAGCTGTGAAGCCACCACACACTGGTGTATTCTGTATATACTGCAAGAGCTAATGGAGTGACATTTAAAATTAGGCAGCAGTAGGTGGAAATAGCGAGAATGGTGAGGTTCCTTATGGCAAGATAGATTATTCTGAAGAATGGGCATCCAAGGAAAATTACAGGCAAGGGCCACTTCCTGGAAATCCTTAGGACTAAATTGGTCCTCAGACACAGGCAGCAGCACAGTGAAAGGACAGTACTTCAGGAGACATTCCTGAAATAGGTCCAGTTGATGTGCTCCTGTGAAGAGAACTACATGCAGGTAATTTAACAAAATAACGCCTGGGCCCATTTCAGTCTCTCTGGGAGCAGCTGGACTATGCTTCTGGGACTTCGCTATAGCTTGCTTGTCCAGAGTGCCTTGGTTTTTACCTGCTTGATTCTTGGCATTCTTAGTGCTTTTTCTTTTGAGTCTTTGAGTACTATTTCATGGTTTAAGCAGTAGGGGGGAGAAAAGCTGCTGATCGCTGGATGCCCACAGACCCATCCAGCAGGTCATTTTGCTGGGACCTGGCTGAATTTGCAGCTCTGTGTTTCTTACCACTGCTGTAGGTTGTATTTGCTCAATTGTCTTGGCTTCTCTTGGCTCTCTTGCTGAGAGATAATTGGGAACAGCAGATTGAGAGCTAGTAGTTTAAAGGATTTCCCAGAAATTCCATCTCCTCTGACGCTGGCAAAATGGTGTTGTATATTCAGGATGTAATTTGCCCTGTGCACAGTGCCGTAGGTAGGAAATGGGCACTGTATAAGCCTGGGACATGCCCTCCACTGCAGGGCAGAATTTAGCTGTACTGAAGACATCACAGAATCACACAATATTCTGAGCTGGAAGGGACCCACAAGGATCATTGAGTCTATCCTGCTAAGTATCCTGTTGGATACTTATGTACAGACAGCCATATAGCTTTTTCCCAAGTTCACCAGATGAAAGACAGAATTTTACCCTTTCTTGGCTCCTTTGTCTACCTGCTCTAATTGTACTTTGCAAGTTTGAGTGCTGTCCAAAAGTATTTCTAAGTGGAACAAAAATAAACATGCTTTTAAATATTTGATGTTGATTCTTAAAGAAGATTGACACATTTTGAAGAGGAAAGCAGCCTCCAACACCTAAATTAAAAATAAATATTTATGTTCACATTTGTTCATCAGCTTTCCAAAATGTAAAAATATGTTTCATGTAGTTTTAAATAATGAAATGTGAAACAAATGAAAGATAAACTTTCTACAAGCTGAAAAGAAATAAGACAAAGTCTTTGTTTATAGCTTAGACTTCAACAGTGCCCTTTGACAACCAATACAAATCTTAATTACAAATGGAATTATACATGTAAGAACTGCTCAAAACAAAGGGGTATTTTTTTTCCTCTCTCTGGTTTTCTTTGTGATAGTTTTAATTAGCTGCAACTCTTTGAACAGTCATAGTCCTTGACTGTTCCTCAGACACTGATGGAAGTTGTTAACTTCAAATGGCGTCTCTAGGACTGCAGAAGTCTGGGGTCTGGGTTTTCCTCTGAACAGTGTGCTCCCCATTGCTAATTTTATTCTTTGATATATCAGGATTCTGCAAACATTCCACTTAACTGAGAAGTGAGCATTGTCCAGTAGCATTCCAGTGATTGACATTAGGACACAATAAATTGGATTAATAGGCTGCAGCACCCTACCCACACTGGCAGAACTTTAATGGACTTCTCTAGTAAAGTAGGCAGCAACAGGGCAAATGTGTTTTGAAAAACAGCCCAGTTGAATTATATGGAAACAAATCATTAGAAATAATGGCCAACCATACATGGCATTTTCCACATATTAATCAGGAACATGCCTCGAAAACAAATGGAGAGTGGAAAGGAGAAGTCAATTTATGTCTTCCCAGCTTAACCTATTTTTCTTTTCAATTCCCTGTGGCCAACCATTTAAAAGAAAGTGCTTACCAGAAATGGATTTAGAGAACTCTCTTCCATCCCAATAGAACAGCCTGATCCATGGGGGGAAGCCCCAGTCCTGCATCAGGATCCAACCTTTCAGTGGGAAGAGAGGAGGGTACCCTGAACCTGTGGGATCCATTAAAGGGAAGAGAGTCCCCATGACAGAACACCCTTGCCACAGTCTCTGAGGCTGAGGGTTGAGGTGTCACAGCCAGATTTAGGTTTATAATAAAGGCTGTCATTTCAATCTAGTCCTGAGGGGAAGAGAAAGTTTGTGCCTGGGATCTGTGACTCACTGTGCTTGGCAGCACTGCAGCCTTCATTAATCAGAGCTGTGTGGTGCCTCTGCCTGCACATCCTCCCGTGGGGCTGGAGGCATGGGCTACTTGGGACAGAATGGCATCTGCTGGCTTCACAGGTTCAGGACATAAAGCTGGTTGTATTTTAGAGCTGGGAGGAAGAGGTGGAGTATTTTTGATGCCTTCCTCCACTGTGGAAAGTGTGTTAGTGAGGAGTAGTGGGGAAATGCCTCAGAGAAATGTTGTGCAGTACTGCAATTTGGGCTAATTGCTTTTTACATTTCAGCTTGTTTCAATAAGGAAAAGTGAAAAATTACTTATTATTGGTCATTATTACAAATGGATTAGAACTGCTCCATTTTATTTTCAAGTTTTTATTAAACATAAGCTGTGCCACAGAAGGTAAGTGAAATGACATGGAATACAGAGCCTAATCACTGGAACATAACCTGGTCTTTCAGAGATATTGATCATAGGCTTACAGAATGGTTTGGGTTGAAAAGGACCTTAAACAGCATCCAGCTCCAGCCCCTGCCATGGGCAGAGACACTCTTCCACTATTCCAGCTTGCTCAGAGCCCCATCCAGCCTGGTCTGAAACACTTCCAGGGATGGGGCACACTCTTGTTTATTGGTCGAATTTCAGACTACTCATGCTGAGCCAGAGAACAATGTCACTCTGATCTCTAGTGGGATGGAAAGGAGCAGTTAACACAGAGATTTTACTGGAGGAGAGGGCAGATACCTTCTAATGCTGCCTTTCAAACTTTCTTTTCAAACAACAGTTCAGGATGCAATAGTAGTTTAATAGTGGATGTCTTGTAAGAATTACTGCAAGTCTCTTTTTTTTTTTTTTATTCTGATACTCTCTCTATTGTCATTTCCTGCTTCTAAAGTCTAAAAAGAAAAAAAAATGCTATTTTTAGCTATTGCAAAAATTTTTTTTAGCTATCAGTTAGACTATCACATGTTTATTAACTACTGGATATATTGCAGTGGCATCCAGGCACCATCCAGGAATCCAGGGTTTAGCAACCCTAGCAGTATAGGAAACCCAGAGAGAAGAGGGGACAGTCTTTTTCTAATTTAATTTGTATGCACTTGGTTCCTCAAGGTCTTCACAAGAGGGATATACAGTAAATATACAGTAAAGTAACAGTATTTGGGATAAATTGGATAAATCTGCATATGCCTACTAGAAAGAAAAATTTCAGAATTTGCTTCTGAATAGGCTAAAACTAATTGTTAAAATAACACATACTCCTTTTGTTACTCTTATTAATATATCTGGATTTTTTTCAAGTTAGTAGAAAAACTATTCTGCTAAAAAAAAAAATCTGTGTCTGTGAAAATATATACTGGAAATCATTCTCAACTCATTTGAAATAGTACAGCTTGCTTTCTTTACCTAGATTATGGCTGGTTTCTACTACTCAGGTATGCTTATTTTTAAGGGATCTTATTTTTAGGATCCTTATTTTTAAAACCTGTTGAAGTAATATCACCCTGCCCCTTAACTTCAACAAGATCAGGCTGTTGCATGTCATGATGTCTATAAGATTTTTAAGTTTTTGCCACTGTAAATGTCTTGTGTTTTTCTTCCTATTAAAGCAAAGAACCGCGGGATTGCGATTCCAGTGGATTTGGACAGCCAGGTGAACACCTTGTTCATGAAGAGTCATTCCAACATGGTGCAGAGGGCAGCCATGGGCTGGAGGATGTCAGCCCGTAGTGGACCTCGCTTGAAAGAAGCTCTTGGTGGGCCGGCCTGGGATTACAGGAATATCATAGAGAAACTACAGGTACAGAAATAGCATATGGCTTGGGCAGCAGTGGGACTGCAGTTATCTCATGTGTGCCAGATATGGAAAACACCAGAGACAGGCCCAGTGCATTTTTAGTGCTGGATGAGAGGAGCTACTGCACTTCTGGGTGGGGATGGCTGAAAAGGCTCAGCTCTTCAAGATCAGTATTTGGCCCCTACAGAAGTCAGAGAGGGGTAGGAGGTATCACAGAATGAGCTGAGCTGGAAGGGTCCCATGAGGATCAGTGAGTCCAACCCCTGGCCCTGGCACAGGACGATCCCCAACAATCCCACCCTGTGCTCAAGAGCATTGTCCAAACACACCTGGAGCTCTGGCAGCCTTGGGGCTATGACCATTCCCTGGGGAGCCTGTTCAGTGCCCCAGCACCCTCTGGGGGAAGAACCTTTTCCCGATATCCACCCTAACCCTCCCCTGACATAGTTCCAGACGTTCCCTTGGGTCCTGTCCCTGGTCATACAGAGCAGAGACCAGGGCCTGCCCCTCCTCTTCCCCTCATGAGGAGCTTGCAGAACTGCTGTGAGCTCTGACCTCAGTCTGCTCTTCTCAACTGAACAGACCAAGTGCCCTCAGCTGCTCCGTGTGGCTTCAGCTCCAGGCCCTTCACCATCTCCATGTCCCTCCTTTGGACACTTACATTGTGGTGCCCAAAACTGCACACAATGTTCAAGTTGTGTTCTTCTTTAAGTTCTCCACAGAGCAGCATGTCCTTTCTGCCTTTTTATGGCCATGTGTCCTGTTCTGGCTGCAGAGGAGATACTGGAGGTTTTAGGTCATGTTTGTGTCACTGGAGATTGCCATGAGATGGAGAACACCTTGTGCATGTAGAGCCTAAACAGCATGAGGGGTTTATGACCTGAGAAAACGGCAGGACCCAGAAAAATGGAGGGGCCCTAAACACCAAGAACACAACACCTGAGGTGACACATTAACTGTGTGTGGTGAGCATTGTTTTTCCAGGACACCATCATCCTAACTGTTGCCACAGGTTTTGTGAGCACTCCTGCAGAGGAGAAATTTGAAAGAGAGGAACAATGGGCACCTTGTTCCCCTTGCCCTGCGTGAGGAGTGGTGTGAAAAAAGGCTTGAGGTGGCTTTACAGCCACCTGGGCTGCCCAGGGCTCTTGCAGCTGGGCATCACACTGGGCCAAGCAGTGCATCACACCCAACTGTGCAACTCCACAGCAACGTTGTTGTAGTTCTCCTGCAGTTATGGATGTTCTCCTGTCTCTCCCAGGACGTGGTGTCCTCCTTGGAGCTGCAGTTCACACCCATGATGCAAGCTGAGTTCTCAGTGCTGGTTGATGTGCTGCACAGCCCAGAGCTCCTGTTCCCCGAGGGCAGCGATGCCAGAATAAGATGTGGCGCTTTCATGTCCAAGTAAGTGGTGTGCAGAGGGGCCTGTTTGCTTCTTTGGGAAAGATGGTAGGGTTTTAACTTTTTCAACAGCATTTACCTCTGGTTTTCAGCAGAGACTTAAGCATGCAGGTGACCAAGTTTACTGTTGAAAACTTAAAGTGAGGTCTTTTGATCCATATTGTATATTTCTCAGCAGTTTTGTTGTCTGGAAAGCAGAGAGAGAGGGGTTGCTTGACTTACCTGCTAGAAATGGGATGTTAGTGGCTTGCAAAAATTGTGGCAGGCTCAACCTATGTCTGTTTTCTCAATGGGCTACTTTGCTGTTACATTTCACCAAATCTACAACAGAAACTTGGATTTTCCATAGCAGAATTTTCAAGAATTCATAATGAAGCAGTGGGCTGCTCCAGGCTCGTGGGTTTTTTGTTGGATTTTTTTTTATAAAGCAAATTGATATTTTTATTTTAAACTGCCAACAGCTCTTTGAAAGTGCATTTCACTGGGACCCCTATCTGTCTTGAATTATTTGCAGTCTGTGCATTGGAATAGTGTCTTGCAATTTTTCTATTAGTCCTCAAGTGAGATGCCCTCCCCGTCCTTGAGAAACTATAATTTAAACAGAGATAACTTGGAGGAAATGAATGCATTGGCAGCCCTCCTGATTTCTTGATTATTTGCATATTCTGCAGAGGTAGCATTATAACAATATAGTTTATGTTTGGAAAAATTAAAAAAAAATATAATTAAATTTTGAGATTATCCCATCCCATGTCCTCTGTCCAAACCCCTCTTTGAAGCCAGCATCAAAATGCAAAAAAAACCCCACACCTCAAAACCTGTCCAAGGTCTTCAGATTTCCTCCCTTCCTATTTCCACAAACATTTCTCCAGCAATGTGTGAACCAGTGCAAGGACCTGTGCCCTGTGCACAGATCTGTTCTGCACAAAGACAGAAAGGCTGCTTCTGGTATCGGCTTCAGCTCACCGAAATCCAAACTCCTGTCACCGTCATAGCTGGAGACAGAAATGGACCTTGTTTTCAGGCTTGTCAAGTGGTTGTGTGAATATAAACAACAATTATGTTTCATCCAAATGTCTGTATTTCTGAACACTTCCTTTTCCAAAAAAAGATTTTTGCAAATCCTTTTGGCTGAATACCATTTGCTAATTATGTAATAAATATATTATAACCATCATAGAAATTGGAAGGTGTATAGTTTGTAGCTTTTAAAGTTTGCAAGATGCATGGTGAACAATGGTTACATTTAAATAATGGTTAAATTAAGTTACCTTTAAATAAAGACAGGATGAAATAGTTAGTCTGGATCTTAAACTGTAAACCCTCAAAAAAAGGGGATGTAGAATTGTGTCTTCTGTATGGGCAGTAAGATATGCAAATTGACACAAAAATCTCCCAACACCTGAAAGTCCCATTTCCTTTTTAATTATGATTTCTCTTGACCACTTTTATTTCCTTTCCTAGAGGAAAAATATAGTAATGGGCAATTTTTACGTAAAGAAATTGCAGCATGGCTTAGCAACAATGTGCAATGCACTTTTAGTTTTAATATTTTACTTTCAGGTTGATTAATCACACAAAGAAGCTAATGGAGAAAGAAGAAAAGCTCTGCATTAAAATCCTTCAAACTTTACGAGAAATGCTTGACAAGAAAACCAACTTTGCAGAAGAGGTACTGCTTCCATTTTAATATTGAATATAGAACTAACAGCACGGAGATAGTAACAGAATCTGACATTATTTCAGTTTTTTGCATGTTTTGGAGATAACCTGGTGTCTTAGGAACAGCGTGGTAAGGTAGCAAGTTGGTTTGGAACAAAAGAAACTCTCTGCCTGACATAGTTCTGTGTGAGGGACTTGATAAGAGTCAAGGCAAGCAAGATGAAATGAATTAACAGTGGCAAGTATTACTATGTATTATGATTATATATTGGATATTCTCTATTTCTGGAGATTAGTCTTAATTTGTCACACTCAACTTTACCATAAAATCAGTGAAAATATAGGGATTTTTAATTGCAATTGTACAGTTTTTCCCTGCTGTCTGTGGTGCCAGACTTTTGTACTCCACACGCTTTGTAATGCTCCCAAATGTGTGAAAGGAAATCTGCAATGTTTAAGCAGAGCTGCCAGTTTTAGGAAGAAGTGACATAGTCTGTACTCTGTAAGTGTCTAATTATTTCTTGCATTCCTCTTTCCCCTCATTGCCCAGTTTTCTCTTGCAAAACCAAGTCTTTCAAATGCCTCTTTCATTTTGCCTGTTCCTTTGCCTATCAGTACAGAGATTCAGACATAGATATCAGCTGTCCCTGTTCTTTCTGAGCCTGATCCCAGTGTCTTTTGTGTAATTTCCTCTTATCTGTATTTCTGGGTATTCCCCAAACCCTTTCAGCATTATTCACTCTTAAATGAATCATGGAGTTATCATCTAATTTCTCAGTGCTGACATCAGACTTGCCCTGTGCAAAAATAACCAGTGTAAGCAGAGGAAACCAACCCCATCCTCACCTCCTCCTCAAAGAAAACTGTGGTTAGGCCTGGGCAGACAAATACTTTTTTAATGTCATAAAGAGAATTTCACAGTGAAAGCAGTTATTATTATTCTTAATTATTATTTACATTTATTCTAATAGCATTCTGGGTGCATAACACCACTGCATCATATGGGAAAAATAATTTGCTTTTGTAACTGACCTTTGCCAAACCTCTCTAAAAGAATTACAAAGACCCACCATAAGTTAACCTCATCTCAGGACTACAGGGGAGGAAAAAAGACAACACTTTTAATGTAGGACTTGAAATAAGCAAGATTTGCTTGTTTTAGTTGCTCCTTGTACCCTGCTTTGGCTGCTGATAAAGGGAGACAGAGTTAAGGGAGGGAATTACCATTAGAAGGAATGTGCTCCATAGGTTTGTAAGAGCCCTGCTTTTCAGGAGTGGGTAAAGGAGGTGTATTCCCAAATCCCTGATGTGACCTCCACCATCTTGAGGGTGCATGGTGGGTGGAAAAGCTCTTTCTAAACAGAATTTCTCCCCGTGCTTCCTCTGGAGTCCCATTGGTTTTACACTGAGGAATGTGATGAATCAGTGCAAACAAATATGTGAATAAACAAGCTTGGATATGCTTTGCAAGTGCTTGCTACTATCTCTGGCTTGCTACTCTTATGAGTCATTGTTCAATGCCATGGACTTCAGAACAGAAAAAATAGCACAATGAATAGCCTCATGTGCGTGTTTCCCATCTTTTCTTTGGGCTGTGATCTCACTGCAAAGTTATTCAACTGTGGTATGCAGATATTAAAAAAAATAGTAATAAATACATAATGGTCATAACCAGAACACAGCTACAGAGGGACATGGGATATTTTGACAGGAAGCCTGAGTTTGCTAATCAAATTGTATTTCCTGTGATAAACCTGACAGAAGTGGTCAACCTCCAGTTTCTGCAGACTTTCCCACAGTGAGAAAGAAGGATGAAATAATGAAATAAAATTTCCTCCTCTCTCTTCACGTTAATTCCCACCACTGAGCACTTTCTACTGTCTTTGTGCTTCATTTGACCACTGGAAGGT